GTGAGAGAGTTGACAGTATTCTTGTCCTTCCTCCTTGCCAAGTTCCCTTTTGAGAGCTAAGGGAGAAGGAAGAATTGAAATGTAGTGCTTGGAGATGGATCTAGTCCAGAAATTGCTAAAGGCTGACTCTCTGTAGTTTGGGTTTTTTTTTTTTTTTTTTTTGGTGGAAGAGAGGGCAGAGGGCTTACTTCTTTTTCTCCAGTCATTAAGTACTTAAAAGGTCAGATCTTCAGCTGATTATAAATGGGAAGAGGAAAAGGGAAGCAAGAAGGAAGAGGACCTGCCTTTGAGTGACACTGTCAGCTATGTAACTGTTAACAAAACAGAAGAACCTCATATATTTTGTAAGCAATTGTCAAGGTCGACATTTCTTTGTGACGCGAACCCACTCAGGTCTTACAAAAGGATCTCTGTTCTATAGAAAATTACTGTCGTGTAAGGAGACTTCATTTAAATGAAAATTTTAAGAGATTCTGGGGAGAAATCCTTTGAGGAGAAATTGGATTTAAAAGAGTAAAATCAACAGGGTAGGGGAAATAAAAATGAGTAGGAAATGCTTGCTGGATTATATGATTCAATTTGACTTTTTTCTTTCATTTTGTACTTTAAAATATAGAAATTTGCAGATAGGTGAAAATGACTCATTTAAGGTTTTGCTTGGGGTTTAATAATAGCCCCTTCTTGCTTCCCTTTCGTTGTCATTTTTAAAACCAGCCAATCACATGTTTCATATATGGGTATATGGAGTTCCCACTTTGTAGTAGTGAGTGCTCTGTGGAAGATTCAGGGTCCACACAAGTTTTTGACCCACTAGAAGTTAACATTCTTATAACTTAGTTTGGTTCTGAAGGCTATAGGCAGGTGAGAAAATTATCCACTGCGTATGGGTAAGTTCTTATCCCACCACTGGTTTACCTTGGATAAATTACTTAACCTCACACAGTCTTGGCATCCTTTGTTTTTAAGGGTAAGACATTGGTGAGATATTTTGTACCTCTCACATTAAGTAGGTTAATGAACTCCTATCTTGTTTAAGGTCATTGAGTATGACAAGTATAACCATAAATTTACCGGAAAGCCTGGATTATTTGGGATTAGATGGGATAGCAACATTTATAGCTAACAGTGCTAGGTTCTGTTCCATATATTATCTCATTAATCCTCACAACTTTTCTGTGAAGTATATACTATTATTACCCCTTTTTTATAAGTGAGAAAATGAACTCTGCAAAGACGTTAAGAAACTTGCCCAAAGTCTTTCAGACAGCAAGCAGCAGAGGCGGGAGGCTGAAATCTAGGTGGTCTGTCTCCAGAAGCCACACTGCTAGCTTTGGTCTTTTTCCAGCCCTTTTCAGAGCCTACAGCATATGCACATTGAAAGAAGTTAATGGTGGTAGACTCTGACACTTATTTAAGATTTTATTTTTTCTTTCCTGTTTCAGGTATCTGACAGCAAGCAATAATAGAAATTTCCTGCTTACCATGAGGCCATTCTTCAAAAGGGCCACCTTGGTTATAAGTTATGTAAGTACATATACGCTTTTGAAATATCTGATAAGGGATGTTTCACTTTAACTTGGCTCAAAGTCATGATCCAGATTATTTAATAGAATCAGCAATAGATTCCTACACCTTGATCTTAGGATCAAAGTGTTAACATGCCGTAAATGTTACAAAGCAATAGAAGGTATGTGTGAAAGCATTCTAGGGATATTTGAACTCAATGACACAGATAGTGTGAACTATAGTATTTTATGAGTTTCTTTCAAAGTGCTGATGCTGAGTTGTCTCAGCATCACAAACCTAACTGTTTCAGCTATCTATTACTGCATAACAAACTACCCCAAAGTGCAGTGCCTTAAAACAACCACCACCATATACCTGTCCTAACCGCTTTAGTTTGGGCGGCATCTACTTGGATGGTTCTGCTCACTATGAGTTTTGCCTGGGGTTATTTGAGCAAAGTCATGCAACTATCAGATTGGCTAGGTGGTCTCTGTCTGGTAACTCATCCTCTAGGTCCCCTTTCTGTGGCCACCCTCTCTAGCAGGATAGCCAGAACTTCTTTATAACATGGCAGCAGGGTTCTACAAGAACAAACCTAAAATTGCAGGGCCTCTGAAGGGTTAGGCCTAGAGCAGACACAGTGTACCTTCTACCACATTCTGTTGGTTGATGCAAGTCACAAGACCAACCCAGATTTAAAGGATGAGGCAGTTGACTCAATTTCCTAATAGGAAAAGCAAAATGTACATACAAAGAGGGTAGAAATTCTTGGTGGCCATCTTTGGTGACTGTCACATTAATCATCTTTTTATGTGGTTGGATGTTTCTATTCAAGGAGATTAAGAGACAGGTCTCTTATGCTATAGTTGTTTCTCTTAAATTTCCTGTCAAAATTTATAATACATTTTGATAGGAAACTTAGAAAAATGTCTTTGAATTGTAATGTTAATAATTAATGTGATTTTTTTCTCAACACTAAAAAATGTTTATGGAAGAAGATGAGTATGGAAAAATTGAATGAATAGGGTAACTTGACTGGACAATTTCATCAAAAGGGGCAAAACATTTCTCTAAAAAATTCCCCAGTGTATTTGCAACATGATAGCACCAGTTAGTGAAAAACTTTCATTGGATAACACAAAAAACCTTCCCTAGGGTTTTTGAAATAATCTTTCATAAGTGTTCTACTTTAGAGCATTCAAGGGTTGGAGCATTTCCAAATGTATTCATTCAAGACACAGCAGTATTATCTACCATATTTTAAATTAATTTTCACAAGGCTTTGTGAGTGGAATGGTTAAGAAATTGGGTGTTAGAGACCAATGAATAGCATGAGTTCAGCTCCTGGATCTTGCTGTTTACTAGCTGTGGGAGGATTCTGAGCAAATGACCTCTAAGCCTGGGCTTTCTCATTTACCTCTAGGATTGTGAGGCCTCAGGTGAGCTGAAAGCTGTTAGCACAGTGAATGACAGCTGTGTTGTTAAGAATTTGTCACTGTTTCATCACCTTCACTGTTTATTCTTCTCTCTCCCAGCTATTTTCACCTTTCCAACTCATCTTGAATGTTAGAATTTTATAGAAATGCTCACTAGAGAAAGTGTTTGTAAAACAAAATGTTTGTAAAGCATCTGGAAATATCCTCCAGAAAAGATGGGGCTTATCCCCAACAAGTGATGATTTTCTTACCAAATCTTCTTTTTCTTGAAGGTGATTGTCATTTTATACTTCCGTCTGTGGATAATGGGAGGATCAATGCCCCTCTTTTCAGAGCAAGATAATCCAGCTTCATTTTCGCCTTACATTCTTACAAGGTCAGTAGAAATACATTGCTTAAACTTTATTTGGTATTTATTAGCTTGTTTTAAGTAATCTTAAATGATAGGCTTTCTTTGTATTTTAAAGAAAGGAAGTAAAGTGTACAACTGAAACTTATTGGATTTTGTTAACCAACGTCACCATAAAAAAATTTAAAAATTTAAAAAAAGAAGAAAGATGGAGATTGTGTCCTATTTGGGGTATGGGAGAAAAAAACTTCTATTCATATATTTGGAAATCTTTTCGACTAATGGTGCTGTTTTGTCAGTACTATTGGTATTGTTCTCATACTGATGTATATTTATTTATTCAATAAGCATTTTACTGAGCACTTATCATCAATAATATCTATTCGGTGGCCTACATGGCAAATGTTACAGAACAAGTTGCAGAAAGTTACAATGAGATAGATTGGACATCATAACTATTTGTAAGAATAAAATCAGTGGAGAGGTTGAAAGTGGCAAACAGAAATGAAAAACAATTTTTGCTAAGATAAAGCTACTTATATCTTACCATTTGTCCTTAAGAGTTTTAGAGATATTGGATCATGAAGCAATGTTGATCAGTGGATCTGGTTCATTGAGAAGGTTTTTAATTCCTTATCTATTCAGTCTGCTGTGATGTACTGCTGAGGCTTTCAGATATAATTACATTTGACAATTTTAATATGTTTTCTTCAGGATAAATATCAACATACACTGTACTTAAATTTTCATAGTTTATTATGTGTTTATCATATATCATTTTCATAATAGTAACCTTCACTTTTTTGAGTTTGCAAAGACATGTAAATCTTAAATTAAACCTTGATTTACAGCTCATTTATATTGTGGTTTACTTGTGTCTCTTATAGACAATGGATTTTTGGATTTTGTTTTTATGCCAGGCAGTAATCTTTGCTTTATTTCACTCATTTACCTTATATGTTTTAATTGATAGATTTTTACTTTTTTTGCCTTGTGTATTTTTCTTTATTGTTCTTAGTCTTTTCTTCCTTTCTTTAAAGACTGTTTTCCATTCAAAACAGATATCTTCCCATTTGATTAACTCATTTTTATAATAGGTATTATGTCACAATTGTTTTCATTACTTACAGCAAAATGTGTGTTAAAAAAAATCTTGATATGCCTTCGGAAATCATATGATATCCAACCCCTAGTGTTGGCTTATCCCTTCGAGGCAGTCTAAAGCCTTACAAATTGTTGCTTATAGCCTATATTTTTCAAAAAGTTGCTTAATTAATCATTTAATTAAGCTCGACATCTCTAACTTAGCTTTGTGTTAATGCTCCAATCTCCTTGTCCTTTATAGGTATCTTTCGCTGGCTTTCAACATCTCCAGGGCCCTTTTTCTGGACATTTTTAGCTCATTGATAAACGGTTTTGGTTTCTGTAGCTCCTTAAATAGCTACTTTCTGCTTTTAAGAGAAAAACCAGCTTTGCCAGATCCTGCTCTTGCTTAATGGCTCCACTTCCTTTAGCTTTGGATTGGTTCCCCTCCAGGCTTTCTTGACTCCTGAATGTGAGCATTCGTTCTTAATCTTTATAGTTAGATGCAGCCTGTTCCCTGGGCTGCCAAGATGCAAAGTCAAAAGAGACAGATGGGTGAGAAGAACAGACTACTCTCAACTCCCTAACCAATTATTTCATTCACATTTGTCATCTGTAAACAAGTGCCTGCCTCAAGGCCCTTAGTGTCAGGACAAGGGCCTTTGGTCTCTGACTCCCTGCTCTCTTCTCTGTAGCTTCTTAGTTGCCGGGTGAGTTAGGTTGCGTTGTTATCCCTGCTGGTGGCTGCAGAAAATTCTTTGAGGGAACCTCCAGCAAAATTAAGACTTTGGACCAGTCATTTGCTAGGTTCTTCCTTTCATTTCCAGGGCATATATGTACTTTTTCAGAGGAGTGGTACACGTTAAAGCCAGGATTTTCTGCTATAAGCCAATCTAAGTGACTATTCTCAGGCAATTCCATCAATATAAAATGATAGAATAGAATATCCCATTACACCTTTATATTCTTCCTATCTTTTATTTAAAAAATATTTTTATTCGTGTATTTCATATTTAAAGTACATAGATACCCAGGGACATTTCAGTGACAGTTGTTATAAATGGTTTTTCACATTCCTCTAAAGTAGCTGCATTATAATAGACTCTTTTGAGCATCCAAAAAATTGTCTTTAATTCCTTTCCTGAGTAAGGTTTCTACTCTCTTTGCATAATTATTTGACCTCTAGTACACTGGTGATTCTTAAATTCGATTTCCTTGGTTTCTTTCCTAGTTCTGTTGTTTTTTTCTTTCTTTCTCATCAGCTGTGCAATTTATCTATGATTTGGTTGCTTCTTTGAGTCTGTCTTTATTAATCATAGGTTTATCATTCAGCTATGTCACTCTGTCTCATTAATGTTTTATCTCTTTTACTGGATTTACAAACTTCAGACAGTTTTTATAGCATCTTTGCTTCTGTCTTGCAAGTACCATATCTTCTTTTAAAGTATGTATAATAAATTATTCTGTTATCAGTGAGAGTTTTCAGATTAGCTTTCTCTCCCTTTAATAATTGCTGTAGTTATTAACTACATGTAGTTTAAAAAATCCTAATAGCTTTTAAGCATAGCTTGGCCAAGTATCTCTTTGTTTCATATGATTTCTTGTGACTTTAGTTCTGAAATTTCTTCTCTTTTACATTATGTATTTCCATGTGTTTAGCTAGGATGAAATACCAAGTCATTTTCTGTTTAACAAAACTGAGGTACAAAATCATTATGTTATGCTCATGAGAAACTTTTGTTAAGAAAAATTATCTAAGATGTGGGACTAAGACAAAAGATAGTTGATTATATGACGTTCACTGTAATGTAGGGCGCTTTCTAACAAACCTAGCAGAATGTAACTTTGGTTGACTTGTAATTTACATTTACTATACTTTACAAGTCTGTCAACTTAGAATTTAACATAGATTTAAGGTAAGTGTGATTATTTCTTTTTTCTCTAGTAGAAAATAAAACTTCAAATGTTACAGCTTCTTTGCCTTGCAGGTCATTGAACAAATTTATATCTAATTTGCCAATCTCATTCTCTTTTTAATAACTATGAAAACCCCAGTTTTTTCAAATTAAATTTATATATTTATATATGTATATATTAATTTATTTTTTATGTATATTCGCTGTACATATACATAAAAAATAACAGATTCGTTGAGGTATAATTTGCATGTCATATAGTTCACTTATTAAAGTGTACAATTCAGTGGTTTTTAGTATACTCACAGAGTTGTGCAACCATTACCACAATCAATTCTAGAACATTTTCATCACCCGAAAAAGAAACCTTACATGCATTATCAGTCACTCCCCATTTCACCCCAGTCCCTCAGCCCTAAGCAATTATTGATCCTCTCTTTGTCACTATAACGTTACCTATTCTGAGCATGTCGTATAAGTGGAATCATATAATATGTGGTCTTTTGTTGACTGCCTTCTTTTACTTAGCATAATGTGTTCAAAATTCATTCATGTCGTAGCATATGTCAATACTTGCTCTTTTTTATTCCCCGGTAGTATGCCTTTGTGTGGTTATACCACTTTTGTTTTTCCATTCATCTGTTGATGGACATTTGGGTTGTTTCCACTTTTTGGCTATCATCAATAATGCTGCTATGAACATTTATGGACAAGTTTTTGTCTGAATGTGTGTTTTCATTTCTCTTGTATATGTACCTAGGACTAAAACTGCCAGGTCATATATGTTAACTCTATATTTGACTTTTTTGAGGAACTAACTGCCAGACTGTTTACCAAAGTAGCTGCACCATTTTACATTTCTACCAGCAGTGTATGATGGTTCCATTTTCTCCACATCCTCACCAACACTTGTCTTTCTGACAATCTTGTTTGTTTATTTGTTTTAATTATAGCCATATGAGTATGTGTGAAATGGTGTCTCATTGTGGTTTTGATTTACGTTTACCTGATGGCTAATGATGTTGAACATCTTTTCATGTGCATATTGGCCATTTCTGTATCTTCTTTGGAGATATGTCTATTCAGATTCTTTGTCCAGTTTTTAATTGGATTATTTGTCATTTTATTATTGCATTGTAACAGTTCTTTATATGTTCTAGATACGTCCCTTATTAAATATATGATTTGTAAACATTTTCTACCTTTCTGTGTGTTGTTTCTTTCTTTCTTTTGTTTCATGGTGTCCTTTAAAGCACAGAAGTTTTTAGTTTTGGTAAAGTCCAATTAATTTTTTTATTGTTGCTTGCGCTTTTGTTGTTATATCTAAGAAAGCTTCGCTTAATTCAAATTCTCTCGCAGTTTCACTGGCTTTGTCAAGTTTCTGGTTCTCTTATTAATAAGTTATATGAACCTTTAGTTTTCACTGTATATTTGTATGAAGATTATGCTTTTAATATTTTTAAATTGTGTTTTGATACAGTTTTTCTTAACAGCAGTTTAGAAGCCCATTTAGAATTTGACTTCTTATTCTTGACCATTGGATATGTCAAATCACAAAAGTAGATTGATACAAATTTTGGGGGGTGAGCATTATTCAGGATACACTGGTAATAGGCATTTAATCTTTTACCTTTTTATTTTAATTCAAACATTTAGGTTGTATTATCTGTCAGTAGTTCTATATGACTGCTCAATAACTTTCCAACCTGTTATTAAGATTGTGTGGATCAATTGAATGACATGACATTGAATTGTCAATGTTTCTATGTTTGCCTTGAGAAGAAAAGTGTAATTAGAAGTTAGAGAGATGAATTTTAATTGCACAAGTTTCCTTGACAAGCAAGTTCCCCCAGGCCCAACTGTCTAAGCCAAACAGAATTCTGGATTCCAATGCCCAAAGATTCTGCTTCTGTGGTTTCAGTGGACTTGCATTTGAGAAGTTATGGAATAGATTTATATGCAACTTGTCCTGTCAGAGAATTGTCATTTAGCCCAGGATTTACTCATCTGTTTATATGTCTTTTTAGA